GATCACATTGATAAGGTATCCATTGAAAAATTTTAAAACTTGTTTCTTTAAACACTTGCTTGTAAGTGACAGGTAACTGATAATAGGTTACAAATGTGCATGTAGGTTCATTTTTATTGTTATAAAGAGTAACGAACAGTTCTGTGCCATCAGATATCGTAGCTGTGTCCAAAGGAATGTTAACATGTCTAAAAGCTCCATACTTTTGCTTGTCGAATAAGTCTTGACCTTCAACAATGTTTTATGTCACATTGACAAATCATTTGTTGTCACCAAGTCATTCATAGATAGTACGTGCCATTTCGAGAAATTCTTCTCGTGTGCCACCAAAATTTAATAAATAAAAAGTAGTGACTAAACATCAAAAAGTTTTTCAGGTTGTGATAACTTTTTTACATCGACAACCACGTAGTTAATGCCTTTGGGATCATTAATATAAGCTTCACGAGTCAGTTTTATTATTTCTGAGCTGATATCAACACCAAGAATATAATCACAATTTAATCATTTCAATCAACGTGTATGATGTCCTTACCACATCCTAAATCGAACACACGTTTTTCCTGTTAATAATCCTTACTTGTCTAATAAAGGTTTTAATAGATAATTATGAATTGTGTAATATTCCATAGGTTCAAGCAAATTCGTTTGATGACCTTCAACATATTTCGAAGCAATATTGTCATATTGAAATTGATGGCTAGCTATTGTTTGTTGTCAATCGAATATGCTGGCGAGAGCATAGAATCTTATGATATAAAAAAAGAGAAATACATTTTATTGTCGATGAATGAATAGAACACAAATAATCTACAACTCGTCATTGCGTCGACTCTTATATTGTTTTTTTTAATGTACTACTTGATAAACAAGCCAATGATTTATTAAAAAGCTTTTCATCGTTAGATTGGACTATACAAATATGGAAGGGAGACACAGAGACATTATCCAATGAAAAACAATACGTACTAGAATATATATTAGAAGATTTTATTGATGATGGAAATCGAGTACTTCATCAAAGTACAAAGATACTTTGGTGAATTATTTGACGAACGAGAGATTTCCTATGATAAGTAACCAGGTGAGAACATGTGAAAGACATTTTAGAGTGCGACTGAATACTATTATTTCTTACACAATGTTATATTAATTGACAAATACGTTTTCTTATTTCTTCTCCGTGAAAAGTCAAATATGATGAGAACGCGTTCGTCACAAGAAATTCTATTGGAAACTGATAAAAACATCAAGTTTGCTCCTATATTTTGTGAAATTTGTTGAAAAAAAGCAAGAAACATATTACTAAAGTTACATTCACTTCTTAGTGAAATATTGATAAACATATGAAAATGAATCTTCATCGATCGAGTGTCAAACAAATTTTCTATCGAACGATGAATCGTTCGAACAGATAAACTTACTCAATGACTAAATATCAATCTTAGTAATAACTATGAGATCTGTTTTTTTGGGTTTCATTTAAAATTGATTAGTAAAGATTTTCGAGATTTGTTTTAAAGAAACTATTCAAATGATATAAATTGTTAAATTAATTTTATTTCGAATAAATTTTTCTTTGAAAAGGAAAAGATTTTTAAAATGTGATCAGATGATTACTGACGAGTCTTTAAAATATATTTTTAATTATCATCGAAATAAAATTGTGATTTCCTATGATATAATATAGTTCAATCTAAGAAAGAATAATTTATTGAAAATTATCGAAATATTTAACTTTTTCACAAGAATCAAAAATAAAATTGAAATTTTTCTTATCCAAAGAAAATATTTTTTAAAAATGAATTTTTCTAAATAGAATCGATTTGATAAATTTTCTCTTATGATTATTTAAAATAAGTAAGTGATGGGTCTATACAAAATAGTTTATTTTATTTTATTTTTTCAATTCTATTTCTTCATAATTCAATTAAATATTTATTTTAACAATCTTATTGATTTAATCAAATATTTATTTCGATTTTCTATTATAGAATATTCTATTTTATGTTCGATTATTCATGGAAATATTTAGTATCTTCTAAGCAAAATTCTAAATTAATATTGACAAGATTTCGTTGAATTCTAAAAAATAGAATATTTAACTTGTTTATTTTAATAAAAATCAAATATTGTAGTTGATAATATATTTAATAAAAAAATTTCAAAAATAATTCTAATACATTTTCAAACTGACAATTTTCAATATGTTAAACGAATTAATAGACGAACTTGTAGAAATTCTTGAATAACAAATATTGAAAAGAAATATTTAATTAGATTATTTGTTGTTTTTTAATCATTTTAAAGAATTTATTTTGTTAGATTTTCTCAATTAATTATATTATAAATCAACGATTGTCATTGAACGAAAATCAGTTTCTACATCGATTATTTATATTTGTAATTCTACATAAAAATGTTTCACAGACATAACGAACATTAAAACTCTTGGTTTTTTCCTATCATAATGCTTAATTAAAATTGTGACTTAATAAATTGTTTTAAAGAAGTTAAAAAAACTGATAATTTCTATTTTATATAATGATATAAAAAAGTCGATATGATTATAACGATGGTTGATGTATTAGCTACATTATATTTAACTATTAAGTATATCAATAAATGTTTTGAATTTTTTCATCAAGGAAAAAGATTGTCTTTAGATAAAATAGTTAAAAGTAAATTCACTTTAGGAAATAATTCATTCGCAAGTCAAAACATTTGATAACATACTATCCGTATAATCTTGTTTTGTGACATTGAATGATTGCTTTTTTTATGATTAATGTACCAATGAATATTGACCTGAAGCAGTCAACATTAAAAGGTGTCGTGAGTTTTAGCATAAGAGAGAATATGTTTCTTCTGTCAGAATACAAAAAGAATATTTCAGCTCTGATGGAGAAAAATATAAATTTTTGACGATTGGAATGTGTCACGTACAATACCGTTCGAGCCACTATTGTTAATTCTTCAATGTATTTTTCAATCGAGCATTCGAATAGAACAAAGAGAGACTTTTATTAATGTATAACGAGCAGTTTAAAAATAAATTTTTTTCTCTCGATCGTAACCCTTTAGAGTCGATGGGTCCCACCGGTGGGACCCATCGACTCAAAAGACTTTTAAGAAGAGTCAATCTTTCAGGATTTTATAAATAATGAAACAAGTTTTTAAGAACGAATACCTCCAGAGAGAAAATTTTCGAGTGTTCTAATGAGCACAAGAGCTACATATGAGCAAAATTTCAGGTTGAAAT